AATATGCTGCCACACATGTACAGTGTGACGAAATTAAACCACAACATGCTGCTGCATGTATAATATATGACGCAATTAAACTGCTGTAAAAGGGCAATTAAACCACTAAAAAGGGCAATTTAGTCAAGGGTACAAGCACCCTTGGAGACTAACTTTTTCAGAAAGGCATAAGCTTTCATAGGTGACTTCTGTTCTGCTGAACTAGTCTCTAGGGTGCCACCCTGCCTTGCCTTCTGCCTACTTTCAGACTAGCAGGGTTAAATACCTCTCTAAGTTTTATACTATTTATGTTTCCATTAAATGTTTGTTTTCCAAGAAACTGCATAGTGTTCTGTACTTGGAAGTGATGGAGGTAAGTGACTTACTTATCAAGTTTGTCTACAAAACCTTGCTTTTTATCTTTGTATATCACTTTCTAGAAAGTCCTAGAAAGGCAGAACTCTGACTGCAACAGAGCCAAGATGGGGTATAGAAAGAAGGGTGTGAAATAATTACACATAATGATTTTGCTTCAGCTTTCCTCTGTACCACTGCAAAGGTTTGGGATTGACATAAACTGTCAATATTGACATAAATATAACCAAATTGAAATGAGGCATACTTAAGGTATCCTATCTCTCAGGTTGGTTTGATTTAACAATTCAAGGTGGAACTATAGTTTGCATCCGCTGACCTCCATTCTAAATGATGGAGGACGTTTGTTAGGAAGAGAATTACTGGGATCATCCAAAGCCCTGGGCATCAAGCAGTTGCTCATCATTATGTTTAAGGTTGACCCTATTCCTAAGGTTAAGATCTAAATGGAAACTCAGAACAACTATATAAACAATGACAGCTTCATGTTTAACCATTTCCCCAACATACCAATGTGAAAAATAAAACACACCAAAGCTAATCAATTTGTGTCAGTGCTACCTACAAAGGCTTACAGTTGCCTGTTTTTAATCTTTCCTTTTCCTCTGTCCCAACAATTATTCTTATTTGCTGTTTTGCAGAGCATGTACAACAGATTTAGGTCTGCGTAATACAGGGAGAGAGAGATGTAGTTAGCCTGTTAGTCTTAAGTCAAGTAGAAGGTAGCGTAGATTTGCATCTTATGCACTAACTAAATTAGAGCTATATCAGGTTTTGTGAGATGGAGCTCACTTCATCACATGCTCCAAAAGGATCTGCACAGACCAATGTATAAAATGGAGAGAGGGGTTTAGGTTGTAGCCGTGTTGGTCTAAGGACATAGGCAGACAAGGTTCCTTGGGTGAATTTGATATCTTGTATTAGACCAACCCAAATAGTTGGAGAAAAGTTATTAAGCAAGCTTTCGGGTTCAAAAACCCTGCGTCAGGCTAAGGAAGTGTCAGCAGTTGGTGTGTGCTCTTCCTGGATGGAATGAAAAGTAAAGAAGCCAGGGGCTGGGCTGGGGAGTCAGTTGCCAGGCAGATTATAATGTATCAAAAATCTAATGTCTATGTTTAGTCCATGATCTCTAGTATCCAGGAGGTTGATGAAATGGAGCTCATAGGCTCATCTCT